TTTCCATTGAAAAAGCAAAGGCTATAAAGGAAACTCTAAAAAAAGCACTATACTAAACTTCATACAACAAAGGATATTTTTAAGGATTAAGGTTATGTTTATGCATTTGTTCTTGTTAGTTTAGGAGTGTTTTTAAAATGTTATTAATTAGTTACTTTGTAAATAATTAAGGTGTTATTGGTTTTGTTATTTGGATTAGTATGTTGTGGTAAAGTGTTTAGCTTTTCTTACTAAGTAAGAATTAGAAACATAAGTCTTATATGTTTTAGTAAAATTATTGTGATGGAAATTTTAACCTGGCAATTTTCAGACTGCAGGTGGTCAGTACAGTCTTATCACCTCAGGTTGGGTTCCTGCCTATCATACTTAATTCCCTTCTCCAGTACAATTAACAAACTAAAAACAGTTAATTTTAACTCAGTGCATTTGACTAATAGGATTATTTAGATTATACAAATATATTCTTTAAGATGAATCACAATGTTACAAGTTTTTATGCTGGTTAACTAAATTTTAGAAATTTTGCCTCTTACCCATCGCCACAGAAAGAAATAGAGACTGATACAGGTATTTTTGTGTAGAGTATTTACCTGATTTAATTTGGAATCCTATGAAGATGCACTGGATGAGTTGTTCTCTGACAGTTTCCCCAGAAGTTGCAAGGGAGTTGAAAGATGATTCTTGTTGCTTGTCTAGAAGAAAAAACACGTTTAAGTGAGGATTAATGTTTTATCAATTAGTATTAGAGCTGTTATTGTAGGGACTAGTCATTAGGGATATTATCCTATTGATATAGTTCTTATTGCCAAGTTCAATTTCACTTGTCTTTCGGAACACAATGAATGAGTAATTATTTCTTAAGAAAGAAAATTGCTTTGAAGTTCACCCATTTACTATTGAGTGTTGTATTTAAATTACACTACTGTGAGATGTAGAAATACATTTCATAGATTTTTACTGACTGATTATCTGTGAAGAGTTTTTATTTTTATAAATTGTTATTTCTGCCTAGAAATGTAACATTCCTTAAACGCCACCAAAATAAACATGGAAAGCTACCTATTGTAGGGTTGTTTCCAAAGTTTCCTTTTCATTCTTCTGACTCAATTCAGAGTGATAAGGCCTTTATTAATCTGCAGCCATGTAGAAATAAATACTTTATTGAAGCGGAGTGTGAACTGTATGAGTCGCCTCGTCTGACACCTAGAACATTTCTGGTCCACACACGAGGTGTGAACAAACTACTATTCTGAGGTGTAATGGGTCTTGAAGTATGTTGACCAGGCTCGTAAGCGGGTAACTCCTTCACCCAACTATGTGTAGTTTAATTGTCGCGGTGACAGATGTCACAGGGAGGGATACAGGGAGGTTGCAAGGTGGTCTGAACACTATGGGTCAAGACAAGCGAGTTGTAAAATAACATGTGAAGAAATTCAGAGAATATTCATAGAGTAACTCAGTCATAAGTTTTCAGGAATATGAGATAATTGCATTGAAAACGTTTAGGCTTTGTCAGAAGAAGTAACAACATGGGAAACAACATGGGAGCCGACACGTCACAAGTCTCCAATGAGTCCTATAAAAGACTCTAAGAGGAAACCGGCAAAATATCCTTTGGACCACCCTGGTGTAGTTTGTGTGTGTGTCGAGTCCTTCGAAGATTTTTGAAAAGTTGCTAAAAGGTAGCTAACATGGCTGCAAGCTGTAGGTTTAAGTTTGCTTCCAAACAATCTAAAACACAAGATAAAAAGAAACATGAAAGTAATGTTTTCAATAAGATAACACTAGGTAGGCCTACTTATTTTATTTCAAAGTATTATGTCAATAAAAGTACCTAACGATTATGATTAAGGATTTACAAATACTTTTAAGTATTTTCCTTATAAATAAGGAATTTTGTAACATAATTTCTGCCACTTGCATAAGTTAATTACTTGCTGAGGTAAAGTCATTGTGAGAAGGATACAGTTTTCAATGAAAACATGCATTAAATTGATACATATTTTTTTAGATTAGTAATATTTGATGTACCGGAACTGAAATATGTTTGAGAAATACCTATACAGTATTGTCTATTTACATAATCTCTCTTTTTACTGCTCCTTCAAAGGATTTCTTGCCATTGAACAACCAAAAGCAGTAATATTGTATACTTCATAACTTTGTTTTATCTTTGATAAAATAAAAGATTTAAAAATGTTTTCTTAAAATAGAGATTCTATATTTCAATTTGACAAAATGCTCTATCAAATATATTCTTTTGTAATTTGAATACATTTTGATGTGTGTAATCTTGTATTATCAATCTAACAAAAAACCACTAAGTGGTAACACTTTCCCCGCCAAGTCAGCAATCCAAAAAAGATAATAAATCATTACTTTTTCCGCCAAGAAAAACAATGTAATGTATGTAACTTTGGCAACTTGGCGGCAGACTTTTGCTTGGTTTTTTTTTCATTAAAGTTACGTTCGTGGATAATTTCACAAATCAACTTCTCTAATTAATTAGTCCAACTAAGTATAATAATTTCGAGGTAATCAGTAAATATAAAACCATCACTATTATGATTTTATGAAATGTGGCACAAATAAGGTCAAATTTTGTAAAATAAGGTCTCACCTAGCAATGTACTAATGGGAGAGATACTTGCTCAATGAAACTAGTTTTATGGTAATTTTTAAAGTGATCGAGCAAAAGTCTGTCGCCAAGTTGCCAAACTTACATACATTACATTGTTTTTCTTGGCGGAAAAAGTAATGATTTATTATCTTTTTTGGATTGCTGACTTGGCGGGGAAAGTGTTACCACTTAGTGGTTTTTTGTTAGATTTTATTTATTTTTGTAGAAAATTAACAGTTAAAATAAAAATCCTCTTTTATCTGATATATAGACCACGGCACAACTACATCGCATTTAATTTCAATAATATTGTTTGTGTAGAACTAAATTCTACATTTTTGGTCTTATCTGCTTTAAACCGATTAAAAACTTTTTGTCACACGTACAAAATTACTATTTAACAAACCCCCTGGGCTTAAACTCAGTTTCAAATTTCATCAATGGTCATCTTGAACAACATAAAATGCGTTGGTGTTACATAAGTGTTTTAATGATTAAACTCGTATATCTGAAGACTAGTGTAATTTGAGCCCTTATTAGAGAAGTAAAAATGTAATCAAACAGATTAGGTTTGTTAGAAATAGCAACAGGCAAAACAAATATTGAAAAACTCATTTATCCTAAATTTACATAACACTTTTTAATTGCTTGTTTAACATGTAGAGTGATTTTATTGTTTTATTGTTTTATTTGTTTTAGTGTATCAAAACATAAAACAAACCTTAGTACTAGTACTAAGTTTCAAGTTCCTAGGTTTCATATGTTTTGATAAGTTATATTAAACTGTTTAAAATGACGAGCTGCTGTACCAGTGTACCATCGGTACATTGCATTTTTCAATGGAAAGTATCGGGGAATATCACTGCTCCAAGTAATTTTATATAGTAAGTAGTTCAAATCATTCAGGTATACCTGAAAAAAATACTTTATACAAGTTTTAAAATAATTTTTTCAGCTGTTCCTATGAATTTCTCTAACATTTAAAATAATTGAGATTTAATCACAGCTGGTCCTTCTTTTGTTTTGATTTTAATCCCATGTTATTTAAATGGGCCAAAATCGTACTTTGAGGGCTTGCCAAGGGTTTATGGGTCATTAAACCGACTTGAGACCCTCAAAAGGCACATCTACACGTTAAGGGCTTTCAAACAACATAAAAAACATTAAAATTGAGCCAGTGGTTTGGGCTGTAGGTCCGTCAACATTCAAGGAGAAGAAGGAGAACACGGAAAATTTGCGAATTTTCAAACTAGTTTTTCTTGGCTCAAACACAACCGTTTTTTAAATTCTTTTTTTATTTTGTTGAGAATGAGTGCCCCTATCCAGTAGATGAATAATTATTTTAATAGCTTTTGTTTCTTCAGAGCTATAGACGAGTAAAAAAAGCCACTTTGTCACGTCATGTATATATACACTGCAGCAGCTGTGTACCGCTGGGATACTTGGCGGGGCGGAACGCTGCCGCGTTCCTTAATTATTGAGATTGGGACTATGTGCATATTTTAACCCAAATAGTTTAAAGTTAGTGTTTTTGGAGTTGAAATTCTCACTACCTTTTTATTGTAAGGATTAACATCATACAAACATTTACTGGCAATAGTTGGTTTATTTCCCAATTATTTTTCAATTTTAATTTTGTTTTGTCTCTTTTAATTTTGTTATTGCTCTTTGAAAAAAGTATTTAAGCATATACAAAACATAAGGACCATCCTAATCAATATAAAAATAACATTTACACATCAACCAGCTAGTAAATGATTCTTAAAATTTGTATTTTATGTTAGGCACGTTATCTTTAAAACAATGAAGTAATAATAGGTACCTTCTAACAATTTTTGCATTATAAAATTGGCCTATAAATAATTAAACAGACTTACCTTGGTCTTATTGTTGTTTTCTTTCCTTAGAGACACTGAGCTACTTAAAAACTAGTTAGAAAGTATTAAAAACTTGTAACATTGTGTTAATTTAATTCAACATCATTTTCATTTTGAATATATATAAATCAGTATTAAAGAAAGTTTAAAATTTGGTTTTTATTAGCAAAACATTTCTCTTAAGCCGGGTTGTTGGATATAGTATAGAAACATTTGATTTAAATAATCTATGGTTTATATTTTGTATTGTCTTTTCCAGCTGCTATGAAAATGAACTTTAATAATTTTGAGACATATGATTTTTGAATGAATTGTTATGTTGTGATCATAAACATAATGGTTTGGTAGCATTTTACTATGATTGAGTAACTTTTCTTTTGTGAATAATTAAATTATTTTCTGCTCAGTATCTAGTCTATTTCTCTTTCCATTTTTGACTTTTAACATTTGGCGACCGTGACAGGATTGTATGAGTTCTTAACCAGATAGTCACTATTGAGATAATGGAAAGAAATAGGAAACTAAGAAAAACCTTCAGAACAGCATTTACCAGAATTTATAATGGGATAAATGAGGAGCTATGCAAAGATGAGCAAGACCTACACAATATACAGGGTAAATTGAGCTCTCTTGAAGGTAAGATAGAGCTAAAAACTTTGGACAGGGAAATTTTAGATTTCTTGCTTGATTCTGAAGCAGATGAAGAAGAGTTAAATGAAGAAGTTAGGCTAGCAGATGAATATGTAGAGAAGTTTAATCGAATTAGTTTAGCTGTACAGAGTAGATTGATTAGGTCTAGGGCCACTTCACCTAATTCCAATGGGTCTGTAATGAGTAAATCTACTGCTGTTAGGACTAAGCTGAAGCTACCTACTATTGAATTCACAAAGTTTAGCGGGGATTTGAAGGATTGGTTACCTTTTTGGGCACAATTCAAAAGAATAGATGATGACGAGAATATTGACGATATTGATAAATATCATTATCTTGTGCAGGCTACTTTAGCTAATTCTAGGGCTCGTCAGCTGGTCGAAAGCTATCCTGCTACCGCTGAGAACTATTCAAAAGCTTTGCAAAGTCTTAAAAGTCGTTTTGGTAGAGATGACCTTCTCATAGAAGTGTATGTTAGAGAGCTTTTGAAGTTAGTTCTGAGTAATTTAAACAGTAAGGTAGAAGTTTCTTGCATTTACGATAAACTGGAAACCCAGCTAAGAGCATTGGAGACATTAGGAGTAACAACTGACAAATGTTCTGCTATGTTATATCCTCTTATAGAGTCTTGTTTGCCTGAGGAATTGTTGAGAGCTTGGCAGCGTCACTCCGGCTATGAAGTTGATGCTGAACTTAAGGATAGACTTGATGGCTTGATGAAGTTTTCTGCAAAAGGAGGTTGCTAACGAGGAAAGGATTACTCTAGCCGCATCTGGTTTTGAAAATAGTAAGCGACCTAGCCAACAGCCTAAAGTAAGTAAATCTACTGTATTTCGACCTAAGCTTAGTTACGCCAGACATACTGAAATGATGCCGACAGCTGCTGGTTTAGTTAACCCAACGAAGTCTGATAAGTTAAATACTAAAGACGTTAAATGTATGTTTTGTGGTTCTAACCACTTAGCTGAAAACTGTAAAGACAGTAAATTGACAGTAGATGAGAAGGTGAAAATCGTTGGAAAAAATGGTTGTTGCTTTACTTGCTTGAAGTATGGTCATAGGAGTGCGCAATGTAAAGTTAGAGTAAAATGTCCCATCTGTGAAAAGAGGCATACCGCTGTTATGTGTAGGGCATCTGCTGCAGAAGGAAGTTCATTGAGTGAACAACCAGTCAAAGAAAGTTCTCTAGCAAACAATGTTCACACAGAAGTGTTTTTACAAACCTTTTTAGTAAAAATTAGAAACCAAAATCGAGAGCGAACAGCACGTGCTTTAATAGATACGGGATCACAACGATCTTATATTTTGAAAAATACAGCAATGGAATTTGGCTACGACATAGTCAGAAAGGAGAAGCTAGTTCATGCTTTATTTGGTGGCACTAGTACTGAAACAATTGAACATGCGTGTTATAAGGTTAGATTAAGTGACTTAAATAACAGTTATGCATGCAATTTTGACGTTCTTGATCAAGATATAATTTGTAACGATGTTACAACAGTTAAGCCTGGTCCTTGGTCCATTGAGCTTGGAACACTGGGAATTAATGTAAAAGATGGAGACGGGCCTATTGAAGTTCTAATAGGTGCAGACGTTGCCGGGAAACTTTACACTGAGAAACGATATTTGCTTTCCAACGGGTTAGTTGCGATGCATACTTTGTTGGGCTGGACTTTAATGGGAAGAACCACAGTTGAAGGTAATAGCAGGTCCAGTTCTATGGCAGTAACTTCTTTACTATCCCCTATTGATAATACAACCATTTCAGATTTGTGGAGTTTGGATGTTTTAGGAATCAAGGATCCAGTGGAGGTCAAGAATGAATCTTCAGTTAAAAGTAGAACAATGGAACATTTTGTTGAATCTGTTTCAGTGGAAAATGATGGCAGATATCAGGTCAAATTGCCATGGGTTGATGATCACCCGCCGTTACCTACTAATTTGAAAGTAGCACAGAAGAGACTCAGTAATCTTACAAATAAACTTAATTCTAGTGGATATCTTAGTTCATATAAACAGGTGTTGTCTGACTGGGTAGAATTAGGTATCATAGAGAAGGTTAACGATGCTGATTTGGAAATTGGTCACTACCTACCGCATCGACATGTGATAAAAGAAAACAGTCTTACCACGAAATTGAGACCTGTATTTAATGCATCTGCTAAAGAAAAGAATCAGCCCTCGTTGAACGATTGTCTAGAAAAAGGTGACAATCTAATTGAATTGATTCCATCCATATTAAATCGTTTTAGACTACACAGATATGGAGTTGTTGCTGACATCGAGAAGGCTTTTCTACAGATTGGTGTACATATGGATGATAGAGATTTTCTTCGTTTTTTGTGGATTAATGAAGATGGTCAATTGGTTGTTTACAGACACGCTAGAGTGGTCTTTGGAGTTACCTGTAGCCCATTTATGCTAAGTGCAGTAATCAAACTTCATTTAGAAAAAACATTAGACTTGATAGATTCTGGATCGTTAAACTACTCAAGAAAAGTAGTAGAGACACTGTCGAGAAGTTTCTATGTAGATAATTGTATGGCAAGTTTTGATGACTTTTCAGATTTGAATCAATTTGTAGATCAAGCGACTTCTGTAATGAAAGATGCTAGATTCTGTCTTCGGAGTTGGGAGTACACAGAAATTCAGAGTTTTAAAAATGATTCTACTTTGACACCTATCTTAGGTTTAAATTGGAACAAAAATACTGACATGATTGAGTTGAATTTTGAAAACTTTGTTTTTAAAGAACCTGAAATAGTCACGAAGAGATCTATTTTGTCTTTTGCTCACAAGTTGTTTGACCCCATAGGTATAACTTGTCCTGCTACACTCATGCCTAAGATATTGCTGCAGAAAACGTGGGAAAGTAAAATTGGATGGGATGACAAGGTTTCAGAAGAGATAAAACTTTTATTTTTAGATTGGGCAAAGCAACTTGAGATTTTTCCAAATTTGAAAATTCCAAGATATTTTGGAAATGAAATCGGAGGGAATATTTCTTGGACAGTTCACTGTTTTTGTGATGCAAGCCAGGACGCTTATGCGGCCGCGGTTTTCCTGAGGGGTGAATCTAATGGACTTGTTACAGTTCAACTAGCTCAAGCGAAGAGTAGAGTTGCACCTGTCAAGAAGATGACCATTCCTCGGCTGGAGTTATTGGCGGCTAACATTGGCGCTCGTCTAACTGACAACGTCTTAAAGAGTATGGGATTTGAAAATGTCAAAACATTTTATTGGACCGACTCAACCACCGTTTTGTCATGGATTCGTCGAGAAGATTACTGGGGAGTGTTTGTTTGGAACCGAGTAAAGGAAATAAGATCCCTTAGTAGCATCGAATCATGGAATCATGTTCCAGGCCATATGAATCCAGCTGATTTGCCGTCACGTGGATGTTTTCCTAAGCAGCTAGTGGAGTCGAAATGGTGGGAGGGACCACAATGGCTAAGAAACTCATCAAACTTGTGGCCTAACCAAAACTTCAGTGATGATTGTGATGAGAAAGAAGTAAATTCTGAACTTAGGAAGATTAAGTCAACTACAAAGATTCTGATGAATTCAAAACCTGAACCAGATGGTTGGTATTACAGATATTTCTCCAGATTTGATAAAATCGTCAGGTTGGTAGGCTGGATTTTGAGATTTTGTTGTAACACAAATATGTCTAAACAAAAGATATCAGGAGGATTGTCGGTTGATGAATTGATTAATGCTCAAAATAAAGTGTTTAAACTTATTCAGAAAGACGCTTTCCATAGTATCAAGGATGAAAAATTGAGTTCATTGTGTCCGTTTGAAGACAGTGATGGCTTATTAAGGTTAAAAATAAAAATCACAGAGAGACCTGATAGTAGAAATTTTAATCTTCCAATTGTATTGCCGAGTAACCATCCTGTTGTTCACAGATACATACAATACAAACATGAAGAAAATTCACATGTTGGAGTCCAAGGATTGTTATCTATTCTCAGAGAAGAAGTTTGGATTATTAGTGGAAGAAGAACTGTAAAATCAGTTATTGACAAATGTGTCATATGCAAGCGATACTGTGTTAAAAGCTAGAAGACAAACAAGTGGCTGAAGGTGTTGAACGTGAATATGATCAAACTTTTTATACACGAAGAGGAAGAAAAATTAGACCACCACGAAGATACCTGAAGCGATAATTAATATTTTGACTTTACAAGTCAAAAGGTGGGAGAATGTTGGATATAGTATACAAACATTTCATTTAAATAATCCATGGTTTATATTATATTTTGTCTTTTTCCAGCTGCTATGAAAATGAACTTTAATAATTTTGAGACATATGATTTTTGAATGAATTGTTATGTTGTGATCATAAACATAATGGTTTGGTAGCATTTTACTATGATTGAGTAACTTTTCTTTTGTGAATAATTAAATTATTTTCTGCCCAGTATCGAGTCCTTTTTCTCTCCATTTTTGACTTTTAACACGGGTTTTCCTAGGCGCGTAGTCGGCCAGCGGAGAGAGGAACGCGGAGAGCGGACTCAGCTGGTCTTAGGTAATTTACGGTAATGTTACTGTTTTCCTAGCAGCGGAGCGGAATGCCATGTTAATTTCAATTCCGCTCTCCGTTGTCCGCTCTCCGCTGGCCGACTCCGCGTCTAGGAAAACCCAGCTAGGATCTGCTCAGTTAAATCATTGACTACTGGAAAGCTACTGGCTACTGGATACTGAAGGTTAAACCTATAGCTGTCCATTCAAAATAAAATCTGTCAATTATAAAAGTATGGGCTAAAGTATTTTTATTTTATTTTTTTATTTTTATGTAAACAAATAACAAATAAACAAATGGTTTTCTAAAATAAATCAAAACTATTTAGCTATTGATAACTAAGTGTAAACAATTAAGTGTAAACAATTTCAAATTCAATATTTTTGATTTAATATAATAATAGACATCTTCAGAACTTACTTATGGTAGTAGTTTTAAAAATTTTTTGATTGGAGTGTTGATGAAATGCAGTATAGGTACTAACTAAACTACATTCCTTCATGTAATTTTGACATTTGTTCATGTTTGCAAGTTTAGTGATTTTTAGAGCTTTGGAACTATGAAGTCATGAAACAACAAATAGTGTTCGTTAATGGATCAGTGATCAGAAGGTAATTGTTTCCCCTTATGAATCAATTTGTCGTTTTGTACGTTTTTAAAATTACATTTCAACTTAAATAATTTAGGATTTCCTATCTCAATAAGAAAAAAAATATAGAAATCAAACTTATGGCTAATCAAACTACTATCATAGAAATGGGATAAGGATATAAGATTAACAAAGCTAAGCTAGAAATTAGGGGTACACTTCCATATCTGTTGGCACAAACAACCAAATGAAAATATCGATTGATATATCGTTTGGTTAGTTAGGTGTTAGGTAAGGTTAACCTAACCTAACTAACCAAACGATATATCGAATCAAACAATCGAATAATCAATATTACTCATTCGGTTGTTTGTGCCAACAGATATGAAAGTGTACCCGAAATTAGATTAAGATATTTTTAATCATGTCCAAAATAATCTTCACGTTCTCATAGTTAATTCATGCACAGCTAAAGCTTACGATAAAACTTATCTACATGTTTCTAATTTACAGTTTTACTCTTCAATTTCAATTTCTTATTATATTACTCACGATACAGAGAGCTTGTGGCTTTATTGGAGTTCATTTCAAATATGAATTTTGTTGCTAGGTAACTTATTTTTGATTCT